TTCCTCTTTAGGTCTTATTTATTCTTATTCATTATACTGAAGGCAGAGGGTTATGAGTCATAGAGTCCATGCACACTCTAGCTCACTCAACTCATATTCTGCCTCGCACTCACTCACTCAGTCTCATCTCGAATTGACTCTATTTTGCTAGGTTATGAGTGCGGCCATGCGAGCACTCCTCAAGATCGACCAAATTCAAATGCTAGGGCCTTAAAATTGCCGCAGGCAGCAAGACCTTCGCACACAGGCATACTAATGGTCATACATGTAGCAAGGGAGAGTGTGTGTGTGCACATTCGTCGCGAAAGCATTTTCTCTATGAGCACCAACGCTTTCATACCCTTACCACAAATAATATCGAAAACACATACACAGATTTTGTACGAGCTTGGCAAACGGTTTGATAAGTTCGGTATACTCTTCACACAGAAGAAATTTCAATTTTCATGAGCTGCTGTTTGTGCTTACATGCATATGTACATACATGTACATATTTGAGAGAGCAGAGAGCAGAGAGAGCGAGAGAGCTAGAACAAAAATTGAGCATAGAAACATCAACATTTGACCATCTCGGTCGAGCGCATGAAGCGAAATGATTGTTCTTTCGTATATTTTCGTAACCTGAACCTGAAAGTGAAGTGGCAACGAATACGAAGTTGATTGGGACCTACGAGACAAATTTTTCGGTGTTGAAAAACTTTATCCTACATGTCTAGTCTATGTGTTAACTGGTCAGTGGTTGTAATAAGCAAGATTTTCTGAATATTACAGATATTAAAAAAAATCTCAATATATATATATATAAAATTACCTGTATGTGTTCTCATATGTCTTTTTAATAGACTAGGCCTATCAAATGCTTTTCTGCAGACTTCACAGGGAAGTAAAGATCTTTCGTTTTTACCCATTCGTTTTTTCTCTGGTCCGTATTGATAGGCTTTAAAGTAAATTTTATTTATAGATGAGATTGAAGTGATATCTTCAAATTCATATTTATTTATTTCTTCCATCGACGTAGATGAAGAAGTAGTTGAGTTGTCAATTGTGCTGTCATGAAGTGATAATAAAGATCCAGAGGAGTCACTCAACGTTGACTTTTGCTCGTCCTCACTTACTGGAGGAGATAGTGGAAAATTTGGTGTTTTATACATTAATGCTAGTGACAAATCTAGGGGGGTATCTGAAAAAGTAAAATAGCAATTAAAAACAATTTTTTATTTTCCCCGTTTGTAAATACCCTTTAGAATCGAGTCCATAGCTTTTCTATAAAGCGTGGAACGAAAAGTCAGAAATATACTGTCCTCTGGTGGTTCCGGAATATAATAAGCAACTAATTCTTCATACATTTTTATTGGCTTTATAACTTCATACAATGGATCTCCTTTAACCATGGAACTAATTATATTTACATTAGCGTCGATAGAACTGGCAATTTTAAGAAATCTTATCCAATTGCAATGAACAACGCGCTTTCCATAATTGTCTGAAATTTCATGATATAATCCGTACCGATATCTTAACTGAAAAATAAAATGAATATGTATAATATAAATTTATATATATAAATATTTATATGATATTCTAATCATTCTGCACTTCTTTTATGCACGCACACATACATACATACATATGCATCCACACTCGCGTATAATCCCATGCTCTGCTAACTGCGCAGTACTGCAGTGTGGGCAATATTATGAGAATTTATTTGTTGAATAACTTCTTTTGTAGACATACAATCTTAATACAATTTTTAGAGCGTTATCATATGGTAAATATATGTACATTCCAAAGCACAAGTCTCTAGTACTTGAAGTACGTTTTTACAAATTGCTGGCGAAGGGAGCGTGGTATAAAAAATCGGTTTATTACAAAATGTATTTAATATGTATAATATGTATATACACAGTAAATCTGAAGTCTCTACGTCTATTAGTGATGTAATGAGGCTCAAAAAACAGATAAACGGATGAATATCGAAAATATATGATAAACTCGTACTGCGTACTGTTACTGTTAATTAAACTTTCGAAAAGTGATCCCAATGTTCAAATGTGTGTATATTCCAAAGCACACGTTTTTAGTATTTTAAAAAGTTGGTGTATATTTTCACTATGAAATTTAAAGTATATAAGCACAGGTAATCCCAAGTTGCTAGGCTTAAGAGTATTCAGAATATCTTTAATAAACGAATACTATTTATCGATTATTATCGTTAAAAATCGGCTATCGAAAAAATATGGTGGGCTCGCACACGAGTATACGACGTTCATACGGACGGACAGATGGACATGGCTATAACGATTCAGCTCGTCGCTCTGATCAATATTATATGTACATATATGTACTTTATTGGGTCAGCGATTCTTCCTTTTAGCTATAACTATTATATTTAAAAAAAAAGAAAAAAAAAAACGCTTTCTATGGGTTCATGATTTGACAACACGATATCACAACAGAGAGTCACAAATCAATCGCAATTCCTAGAAAATGCTAAAATACCATACCCATATCCAAAATATAATAGATGATAATAGAGGATGCTAACCGCAATTTAATCGTTAAGTTTAGAGTTTGTAGGTCTAATACTCCAGAAAATCCAGCTTTTTCCGGTTTGCAGACAGCTAAAAGAGTTTTTCTTTTTAAACTTCTAGCTTTTGAGCTGTAGGATATAAAAACTTTTAATGTTATCCGAGCCCGCTTTTTGGTCTTGGGTCAACCCGAAAATATATACCAATTTTCAGCTTTCTACCCCTTTAACTAATATAATTTCCGGCATATCGGAAAATGTATTCTTGGCATATTATACATCACATCTATTAAAACACCTCCAAAGTCATGATCTAAATTCAATAGTGTATATTTGGCAAATGTTAGAAAAACCAGTGCGAACGTTACAGTCAGGCGTTACCGACTGTGGAATATTCATTCACACTCCTTCAGCACTTATTTATACATCAACACTTTATTATTGGCCAGCTCATGGTACAAGCTAACGGTAACCTAGCTGCAATATTTGGATGCTCATGCTCCAAATTGAAAAAATTACAGGGTATTTTACGATATCCCACGCCCAGGCATACCAATATTTTTTGGGGAATCGATAGAAGAGGTTACTAGTAACTAAACTATCTAAATTTGAAGCTTCTAGCTCTGATACTTTGGGAATATAAACTTTTGCGGTTTGCCACGCCTTCTGTGGGCGAATATATGTCCACTAAAACTTTTTGGTCCTGGGAGGTGAGCCCGAGTATATATATTTGAGATCTCTAGCATCAATAGTGTCCAAAATATAGCAGAATTTAAAAAATGACAATCAGGTTCGATTTGCCACGCCCCTAGTAGACGTAGACATAAAATTTTTTCATCAATTTTTATAGAATCATAACATTAGCGCCACGTGCAATTTAACGTTCTAGCTTAAAACCTCTAGGAGATACAATTTTATCCGATTTGCCACGCCCTCAATGGGCGTATTTATATTCGTCATAGCACGTGATCTTGGGTGGTCAATGCGGATCCACGTTCCAAAATTTAGCATTCTAGCTCTTCAACTAATATGAATTCTGGCATATCGAAAAATGCATTTTCCGATAATAATGTTAATGTAATTTTCCGATAATAATAATGTCATAATGTTTGGCCATTTTTTGGGACGAGCATGCTCCAAATAATCAAAAAATTGCTGAGTAGTACTTAAATACGCTGAATGGAGTGACGAATATGTATGCATGTATTGTGCAACTATTGTGTAAATTTTCTTTTAAAGCCTTTTGGTCCATTATAGATTTAATGAAGACACGTTTGCCTACCCGACTTGATCTCTTATTTTATTAATTACTATCTTGCACGCCACTATATGTGCCGCCTATACACACGAGTATATATTTCAAATTTAATATCGAAATATTTTGCGTTATTATGGGCAGACGACAATCTTTACACAAAAACAATATACTCACTAAATTTCATGATAGAGTATAATATAGAGCATTATTTCGTGAAATTACTATAAATTATTTTCTGCAAATACATTAAGTGAACATTTGCATTTTCAACTCCTACTATTAAATCCCTGATAAATCCCAATTATATTAAATCCCAATAATACAGTTCATTTAGAAATCAGAACTTGAAATAATACCACAACGGCGAATATTATCATACCATATACTATTTTATCAGACATTGCTTAACATTAGAAGAATTATGTTCATGCATCGCCGCTTCGCAAAATATTTTCATAAACATACATATGTATATCCCAATACATACATACATATACATAATAATTCAGTACCTTCACAGGGTTGTGGTAAATAGCTGCTGAAGCATTAAAGAAAACTGTGAGAACTTCTTTAAAATTCATTGTGCCCATCTTTAAAAGTTCCCAACGTCATGGGAGAGTAATCACCCCATGGACTTAAAAAATGTTGATGCATTTAATTCGATATAGTTAAATCTAAATGAACTTGTGTTCTTGAGTTCTTATTATATATATATATATATATATATGTATATATGTATATTTAGTTAGGAGATAGGGCTAAACGTTAAAAAAAATGCAGAGCTTCAAAAAAGTTATATTATTCAAGCGTTGTAGAATAATCTTTATTGTTTATAACAGCTTTTAGTGGGTTAGGCATTGGTAGTACTAGTTTTCCAGAATAATCCTTAATGATTTTTGCCCATGCCTCTTTTCAGATTTCTAAAGGCTTAGGCTTACATTATAATTTTGAAGTTGTATGACGTTACTTGAATTTTTATATTTATGAGTATTGAAGACTAGAGACTTAAAATTTGGAGTACATACTCGTGTATATCTCCGATTTATAAAGTGTTAAAATTTTCGACCCACTAAGGGCGTGGAAAATGCGTTTTCCGATATGCCAGAAATTATATATAGTTATATTATAGTTGAAGAGCTAGAATGCTAAATTTTGGAACGTAGATCCGCATCGACCACCCAAGACCACGTGCTATAGCGGATGCATCTACGCCCATTGGAGGCGTGGCAAATCGGATAAAACTGTATCTGCTAGAGGTTTTAAGTTAGAACGTTAAAGCTAATGTTATGATTCTATCAATATTAATGAAAAAATGATCTGTTTACGCCCTTTAAGGGCGTGGAAAACCAGACCGGAGATATAGTAATTTTTCAAATTCTGCTATATTTTGGACACTGTTGATGCTGGAGATCTCAAATGAATATACTCGGGCTTACCTCCTAAGGCCCCAACTAATATTGTTACGCCTCTTTAGGGGCGTGGCATATCAAAAATACCCTGTAATTTTTTCTTAATTTTTGGAACGTAAGCATCCAAATTTTGCAGTTAGGTTATCGTTAGCTTGCCAAAAATAAAGTGTTTACGAACAGTAGGGGCGTGGAAAATCGAGTAAAAATTTAGTTTTTTACAGTATTAGAGCAAAACTTAGCTAATAAATTGCTGATGGGGTGTGAATGAGAATTCCACAGTCGGTAACGCCCGACTGCAACGTTATTATTTGATTCTTGGGCTAATTTTATGTAACAGGTAGAAGAAGGCGTGGCGTACCCTGATCAGGGACAAGATGAGTCGATTTAGTTCTGCCTATCTGTCCGCATGTTTAAACGCGTGGTTTTCATTATCGATAGTACGGAGTGTAATTACAATTCCTAGCTTTTTTTTTTATTAATTTAAAACATTACATTACAATACTGTTTTTAAATGAATTTCAAGCTTTATCATGTAAATTAATTATTGCATTTAAAGAAAAAATTTAATTACATGATAATTCAAGTTTAATGAATAAAATAGTTGGCACAAGATTTAATTTTTTAAAAAGCGCACTTACGTCATTTTCATCAGGAGACTTTAAGTTTTCAATTTTATCGGTACGAATAGTACCTTGAAACGGACAAAATAGAGTTCCTTTTTTGATATTAGTAGTTGCGCACACAGTTAATACGAATTCGTTTGTTATATTTGGTAGGGATATTCCGGTTAAAGATAACTCTTTTGGTATCAAAACGCATGATTCCATTTTAAAAAATAATTAGCATTCAGTTTTTGAGCGAAGAGAATAAATGTAAACTGATAAATTATTTTAATATTTCACGAGTGACTCTGCGCACCCATTTCGTTCACTGTTCAAGAAATACTGCGGGATCAGGATCGCTTGAATCGGCCATGACCTTCTTGATGAAAAACTGCAAACACTTGAAATACCAATACCATTCAGATATAACATACTCACAAAACACACTAGCATACTCATACTAAAAGTTGTCTTGCGGACAAGACCGGCAGACATCCAGAAAAAATAAGAGTCAGGCTTATTTAACTCAATGCTCCACTACGTTACCAAAACAAGATCAACATTACACAACGCTACGACTATCAATTGATCTCAAACAAACTCGTCTTGAACGCTCGGGCACGGGTATGAGCACCTGTACGCCTTTGGCCACACGCATACATATATACATATGTGTACTACTACACTTAAATATATTTTTTTTTTCATATGTATTAGTTTATAGGCATCTTTTGATGTACATACACATATGTATGTACATATGTATGTATGCACTAACAGGTAGCAACTTGACTTTACTCTAAGCCGAAGACGGCTTTTGTCGTTCATCACCTGTTGCAGTGTAAGGTAAGCGAATGGCTTGTTATCATTACAGCATTGCTACATTCCCTTCATTTGTTGTTGTTGCTGTTTTAGTATTATTGTAGTTGTGTTAAACTCTACATACCGATTAGGGTTATAGCTGGAGGCTTTGAATGAAATTTCGGGGTGAGCGGCAACTACTCAGGACCATTGAGAGAACTCAATTCAGCCGAATAGAGCTGAGCTCTTTTCGACCCACCCTTCTATCTCTTTCACTCTAACATCATACCGACAACAAGTGGCTGCCTACTGAGTTACACTCAAAGAGTTTCTTTCGACTTCTGGATGGAGCAGGTGCAAACACTTGGCCTACAACTACTACTTCCATTCATAACTACTGTCGAAGACGTAATTTTACTCAAGTCTCCAGTCAAGATCCGGTTTTACAGCTTGAGTCGAAATGAAATAAGAATATTTAGTGTGTGGCTAAAGCTATTGCCATCTTTTTCATTATCTTATATAAGTACAAAATAGGAACGCCCATTCATATACTCTACATCCCATTAAAACGAGTATACTCATTTGTATAGAAAAGTCAATTAAAATATTATATAATTAAACAATAATTGATCATGATGAAAATAATAAGTACACCAACAATTTTGTTTGTCATAACTAATTTATTTTTGGTATTTAAAAAAAAAAAAAAGAAAAAAACAAAAAAATGGATGGTAACTTTAAGAATGCAATCTGGCAATGTGATGTATGCCAACAAAAAGTTTTGCATTCCCTCCTAAATTTAGAGTAATTACAATTTATTGTAAAGAGCTTGCTGAAATAATTGCTCATTCTTCAGCCTGAAAAGTTTATATTACGAAATGTTTATTTTATTGTTTTACAATTAAAAGGTATTTTTCCTACATATGTATGTTGAAAGTAGGAAAAAAATTATTAATATCGTATTGGTCGAAATATTCATTGTTCATGTGAGGAACGGAGAGTTTCTAAAAGCCCTAAAAGGAAACGCAAATCTTTGTGACTCTGATAATATCTTAATCTCTTAACTTTGTGCAAAATGCTTGAAAGGTGCACAATAAAAAGGAAACACGTAAATGTCCATCGAAGACCAAACCAGAACGCATTAAAGGAATTGCAAGGAACGCAAGGGTCATTGGTCATTGCATCTGTAATGGATAGTATTAATTATGCGACTTCAATTAGGAGATGACTACATATGGCTACACTACCAGGTTGTATCGAAAAAATGGTTTAATGCGCACCAAAAATTGTATGATGATGCAAAATTGTGCTTATAGCATCATTTGGGAAGGATCTGAAGAATGGCGATGGAAACATTATGGCGTGGGGCTGCTTCTGTATCGTCTGATATTCTTAAAAGTGTGTTTTTTTATACCCTGAACCCATTGAAAATGGGAAATCAGGGTATAATGGT